GTAAGCAAAATATAAACGTTTTCATCAATTGTAAATTTAGGTCAACTTTGAAGTGACCTTGAGACCATGCCCTTTGCCCCAGGGTCATGCCATGAACAATTTTTAATCTTCAACATATCCTTATCATTGTATGTAAGTTTGGTGAAATCTGCCTGGTGGTTCTGGGGAAGGAAGAAGATTTTTTGCAACCAGTACTTTTGGTTTTGTTTTCCTGATTATCTCCCCTTGTTTTAGGGTCCCAACCCTTATTTTAGTATAAATGGTAGCCCTTGGGCCAAGGATACCCTGTGACAAATTTGACACAGATTGGCCAAAGGGTTCTTGAGTTATGGCCCATATTCTGAAAAGTTAACACACACCGCACACCGCACACCGGACCACGCACACCGCACACCGCACACCGCACAAATGGCCATAGCATTAGCTCTTTGAGCCTTCGGCTCAGAAGGAGCTAAAAATCTCATCTCGGAAAAAGGAAGCGCGGTTCCGGTTTTACTATTCGTAAATGACGTAGTGCGGGTATAGAACTACTTTAAACTGAATTCATTGTGTATATTGTTCACTGTTATTCAGTTATTAATTTTTTTTTACAAAATGTTTAAGTTTAATTTTTGTTAGATTTTCGACACAAATAAACAGTTGTACATTTACACAGAATGGAGAAGATTAATCAATGATAATTACCCAAGCTGAACATTAAACAATTAACGTATTAGAGATGCCTGAGGGGGCTTTGGGATTCCTCTACAAACACATTTTTTACAGAGCAGTATGTAGTCAAAACATGGGTGTGAAAGGTGTGAATTTCTGACGACATCGGTTACAAGGAGTCGTCCGTGCATGACGAGCTACCAGCTTACAAACAATTAGCAGAAAATTGCACGATGTCGACATATAACAGGTACATTTTGCTCTTGGGACTGTGAAATACGTCGAGATAAGCGGGATAATCGACATTACCGAGGTCGACATATCAGAGTTTTTGCAAATCATTAATATAGTAAATAAAGCCAGGACCCTGGGCGGACGTCGACATATCCCAGAGGTTGTCAACATATCCGATGTCGAGATACCGAAGTTTACCTGTACCATTTATATTTAAATAAAACCATAAAATGTCAAAAGTAGATCAACGTGACCTCCTTTTTGGTTGACATTCTCTGAAAACCAAAGATGCATTAATTGACAAAATGTGATGATTGTAAACCAAAAACTGCCTGATATACCTAACTATAGACATAAAATGTCAAAAGAAGGTCAATGTGACCTACATTTTGGTTGTCACTTCTTCAAAAACCCAAGATGCATCAACTTACAAAGTTTGATGATTTTAAGCCAACAAATACCTAAGGTACTTAAATATAGCCATAAAATGTCGAAAGTAGGTCATTTTGACCCACACTTTAGTCGACATTTTTCAAAGTCCTAAGATGCATCTGTGGACCAAGTTTGATGATTGTAGGTCTGAAGGTAATCAAAATATGCCTTTTAAACATGCCAATAAGTACTGGATAATACTTAAATATAGCCATAAAATGTTAAAAGTAGGTCACTGTGACCTAATTTTTAGTACATGTAGGCGATTTTTGAAAGCCCAAAATACATCAATTGACCAAGTTTGATGATTCTAAGGCATTAAGTACCTGAGAATTTCAAAAGTAGGTCATCGTAACCTACTTTTTGATTGACATTCTTTGAAAACCTAAGATGCATCAACTGTCAAAGTTTGATGATTCTTAGCCAATAAGTACCAGTGATCCTTAAATAAAACCATAAAATGTCAAAAGTAGGTCACCTTGACCTATTTTTTGGCTGTCACTATCCTAAAACCCAAGATGCATTAACTCACAAAGTTTTGATGGTTCTAAGCTTATAAATACCTTAGGTACATAAATAAAGCCATAAAATGTTAAAAGTAGGTCACAATAACGTACTTTTTGGTAGTCACTCTCCAAAAACCCAAGATGCATCAACTCACAAAGTTTGATGGTTCTAAGCCAATAAGTACCTACGGTACTTAAATAAAGCCATAAAATGTCGAAAGTAGGTCACAGTGACCTACATTTGGACATCATTCTCTGAAAACCCAAGATGCATTAACTTACAAAGTTTGATTGTAGATACTTAAATAAAGCCATAAAATGTCAAAAGTAGGTCACAGTGACTTACTTTTTGGTTGTCACTCTTTGAACACCCAAGATGCATCAACTTACAAAGTTTGATGATTCTAAGCCAATAAATACCTAGGATACTAAAATACAGCCATTAAATGTCGAAAGTAGGTCACAGTGACCTAATTTATGTTCGGCACTTTCCAAACTCAAGATGCATCAACTCACAGTTTGATGATTCTAAGCCAATAAGTATCTGTAGATACTTAAATAAAGCCATAAAATATAAAAAGTAGGTCACTGTGACCTACTTTTTGGTCGTCACTCTCCAAAAACCCAAGCAAACAACTGACAAAGTTTGATGATTCTAAGTCATAAATACCTAAGATACTACTAAAATATAGCCATAAAATGTCAAAAGTAGGTCACCTTGACCTACTATATGGTCATCATTTTCCAAAAACCCAAGATGCATCAAATGACAAGGTTTGATGATTCTAAGCCAATAAATACCTAAGATACTAAAATATAGCCATAAAATGTTGAAACTAGGTCACCATGACCTATTTTTTGGTCGATATTATTCAAAGTCACAAGATGCATCTGCTGACCAAGTTTTATGATCCTATGTCAAAATGTAATCAAAATATGCCATTTAAACAATTTGAAAACAAATGCCTGCAAAATTCAAAAAGTAGGTCACAGTGACCTACTTTATCATGAATATGTTTAGAAGGTTCCCAAAATGCATCACTTCACAAGATTTGATGATTCTAAACCTCTCAGTGTCTGAAATAATTGGATAAAATGTTTTAAAAAGAATTAGTCATACAGTTCAAAAAGTAGGTCACAGTGACCTACTTTTAAGCTGACATTGTTCAAGGACCCAAGATACATCAACTGACAAAGTTTGATGATCAAAGGCCTTAAAGTGCTCAAAATATGCCTTCAAATCAATTTGAAAACAAATGCTTACAAAAGTGAAAAAGTAGGTCACTACATGTACTACTTTTGAGTTAACATGAGTGAGTCTGAGATGCATCAACTTACAAGATTTGACGATCCTAGTCCTAATAGTAAGCAAAATATAAACATTTTTATTATTTGTAAATTTAGGTCAACTTTGAAGTGACCTTGAGACCACGCCCTTTGCCCAGGTGCTCAGGTGACCTAATAAAAACTTGGAAAAATGATTTGATCCTTCTTTTATCTTTTCATCTTTTGCTTACATTTGACCTTCTAGTCTTTTAGCAGAATCACACATACATGCGTAAGCAATTTTTACGCCAAGTTTCAAGTAAATCTTGAACTCTTGTACTGTGTTTTTTTTTCATGCGCCCGCATCGATAAATTTGGGGCCTATATTGTTTTTGTCCTGTCTGTCTAGACAGTTTGTCTGCAAACTTTAACCTTAGCCATAACTTTTAAACTATGAAAGACAGAGACTTCATATTTTCATGCTTCACTTATTTAGCTCTTCAGATGACACAAGGTCAATGACATTCTGACCTTCAATGAGACCTTTATGCTAAAAATAGTTTTTTGTCTGCAAACTTTAACCTGTGCCATAACTTTTGAACCATGAAAGATAGAAATTTCATATAAAGTTGTTATGCATACTTCACTTATTGAGTTCTTTCAAATGACACCAAGGTTACCTTGGTTGTAACCTTTATAAATGCTAAAATACATGAAGCTTTCTTGAACATTCACTATAATATTTGAACCATGAAAGATTATAGAGACATCATATTTAATATGCATACTCCTAAGTTCCTTCAAATTACACCAAGGGCAATGGCCATTATGACCTTACTGTGACCTTTATTCTAAAAATAGTCTATTTGTACCTTTGCCATAAGATATATAGGAGATGGAAACTGCATATTTGGTTTGCAAATTCCATAATAAGTTCTTTAAAATGACATCAGGGTCATTGACTGTGACCTTAACTCTGACCTGTATGCTAAAAATAGCTTTGTCGTACTTTCGCCTTAACTTTTGAACCTTAGGAGATAAAGATTGCATATTTGGTATGTAAACTTCACTAACTTTGTTCTTTCAAATGGCACCAAGGGCAATGACTGTGACCTTGACTGTGACCAATGTGCTAAAAATAGCTTTTTTGAACTTTGTTGTTGCACATAGTGTTTCACAAACATATTTTGTTCAATATAATCTAGACATAGATCCTACAGTATTTTTTTCTGCAGAGTAACTGTTAAGTTTACCAGAGAATTCTATGTGTTACAGTCATGGCATACCATTTATGTGGGAGTGCTTGTAACACATGCGATATACCATGTCTTTATTATAATACATTATTTGGAATATTTCATCTGATTTGATTAAACCAGATGTCTCTGTTGAGACTGTAGCTCTACTGGTTCAAAAAAATATTTATAGCAAAGGAATAGAAAAAGTCACAAAGTCATTGACCTTGGTGGAATTGAAAGAGCTTAATTACAACAGCAATAATTAGAATAATGATCATGCTTCAAAAGTTATGGCAAAAGTCCCTAAAAAGTTATTTTTAGCATAGTCTCAATATCACAAGGTCATGACCTTGGGAAAGAGCTTTTATAGAGAGCATTCTTTAGTTCAAAAGCTATTTCGAAAAAGCAATTTTTAGCATATAGGTCACAAGGCAATAATGTTCATCAAAATAAAAAAATATGAATTAACAGGATTGTCAAAAGTTATCTAAAGTTCGAAAAAGCTATTTTTAATTGTGTGTCACAAGGTCATTGACCTTGAAATCATTTGAAAAACTGTATTGGTGGAGTAGCATACTTAATTGAAAGTCTCTATCTCTCATGGTTCAAAAGTTAATGCAAAGGTTAAAGTTGACGCTGGACACATAACATATAACGCATAATCTCAATATACTGGTCTCTGATCAGGCAAATTAAAGTCATACCCTTGATTGTTTTTCCAGTTACATCAAATATGTCAGCCTGGACATCAATTCCTCGTGTTGACTTTGAACTTTCCAGGATTTCTTTCAGGTCAATGCCCTTTAGTCTCTCCAGTAGGGTTGATTTCCCACTACCTGCACATCCAATGATCATCCCAGAGGCGTGGTACATGGTCGTCTCCCCTTTCTTCAGATTTTCAATGAAATTCTTCACTGACTCTTCTCCTCTCATCAAAATCTGCATTGGTACACCAACTATAATAAAATAAAACATCTATCATTGTATCACTGTTCTACTAGTTTGTGCTAAAATTTTCAAGGAAAACAGGTGCAGTTTATGCACACTTGCTTTTTCTTAAGTATTCTTTTTATAAGCAAAGTTAATAATATTGATAAGTAGGTCAAACATGGAGGTCAAGGTCATAAGTTAAAAATAGTAACAAGCTCAGAAAAATGTTGTTGATGGCAATGCACAAAATCAAATATGAAAGCACTTTTTCTTCATTAACAAAAGTTATTTGGAAAAATTGATAGTATTTGTTTATCAATTAGCCTGAAATATGCATTTGTATTAATTAGTCTTTGTAATTTATACACCAATGACTCAAGCTTAAAACATTCTTTAAATAGAATCTTGGATCCGAGTATCAAAATACAGATCAAAATATGCCATTTAATTTTTATACTGATTATTTGATGAGTATATGATGGTAACAAATTTTGATTGAGCTGAGTTACGTATATTTTCAATGTTTTCATGGTCTTTGATATTGATTACTGTTTAATATCTACCTATCCTTCATTTTACACAGTATATATTTACGGGAAGGACATACAATTTTTAAATACATCCTCATGTATTGTTGTATCCTGCCATGTTGGATGGATGAAAATATCCTCTCCAAGTTTTTCTATCAATTGTTCTGTTTGTTGTGGTGATAACCAGCAAAAGACTTCCCCCTCTTTCTTTGGATAGGCCCATGACCTGCAGTACTCAGCAATGTTGTCTTTTTCTGCCGAGGTCAGAAATATATCCACAAAATTAGGATTTTTAGCGAATCTAAGAAAACTGGTGTGCTTAAAGAAATCACAAGAAAACTCAACATTCACACTATCCTGTTTGAGTATTGGTTTGTACTTCTTTAAGTTGCTAAGATTGGACGGCTTTTTAATCTTCTTGAACTTGAATACTTCAGCAACAGCATTATACTTTTCTATCCAGTGTTGTTCTTCAATATTTAATTTGTATGAAGGGCAGAGCAGAAGGTACATCAAAACTGCATCTCCATCTACAAATAAACAGAAAGTCCATGTACCACAACACTCACTGTAGCTTTGGCTAGAGAAAAGCAGAAGAATTTAATTAAGGTATCCGATCCATATTAGCCCCAGATTTAATGGAATTGAATGCATAATAGATATGTATGGGCTGAATACTCAGTACATTTAGAACTATTTTTCATCTTTTAGTATGAGAATGTAAGAGTGGGATATGTCCTAATTTAAGACCTTTCCCTGCCCTTGACGAGTTATCTCCCTTTGATTTTATTCAATAAAATTATTTTTTTTTTAAAATTTTCTGGTAAATAAATCATTTCTAATTTTTCTTCTATTCAGATTTATCAAATACATCTTTTCCCCACAGAATTTTTTGATATTTGAAGTATTTATTTTTTTTATTTTAAAAAACTTGCGTCTTTCCAAAGTCTTCAATGCATTCTTCAATAATTAATTTCTGCTTATGCAATTAAATTTTTGAAAATTTCTCT